AGGACACCGAGCGGACCAGGCTGACCTTTCCCAGGGGAGGGAGAGTCACATATCCCAGCCCAGCACTGGACCTGCCCCTCCCGCCCAGCGTGGCATGCAGCCAAGAGGCTGATGGCCAGCTCCCTAGGGCTGCCAGATTCCTGGGAGGCTGCTTCCTGCTCGCACTCAATCCGCACCCAGAGTGTGCCCCTAAGAAGGCAAGGGGTCAGCTGCCCACCCAGGACCCCTCCTCCAATGATCCCTTGTGCTCTTAGAATAACGGGAAAACTCCACCCTCCTCAGTGGCAGGGCCAGAGTCCCACTGGGCTCTCCAGTGTACCCCCTGCCGCTCTCCTCCTCTCTCTCCAGGTTCCCACCACACTCCCCCTGCCACAGGGCCCTTGCATGTGCCATGCTGGCTCTTTATCAGGTTAATATTAACTGCCAGCCTTGTGCCTGACCCCATACTAAATCCTTTATGTGGATGACCTCACTCAACCTCACGCAGCCTCCTTCCAACTCTGCCACTAGAGTGCCTGGGTTCAAATCCCAGCTCTACCATGTAACAGCTGTGCAACCTGGGGCAACTCACTCAGCCTCTCTGGGCTAGTCTGCTCATCTGAATAAATGAATCACAGCACCTGCCTCAAAGCTGGTGGGGAGGAGGTGACTTAACACAGACATTAGCAGTGCCTGCCACCTGGCCAGCGCTCAGTATGCTACTTCGTGCTAATCATCATGAATTTGTGCTCTGGGTGCCAGCCCAAGGGCCCCTGTCTGACCAGGTGGACCCTCAGCACCCTGGAGACATGTGCTTAGAAGATTACTGCTCTCTGGCCCCTTGCCAGCCTGCAGGAGAGGGCAGCGGCCCCAAGAGGGGCAGTTCCCTGCTCAGGGCCACACACATACCCATAACAGGCTGAGCCCAAATTTGAATCCAGAACCCCAGCTAAACTGCAGGCCTGCTGCTTCTGAGCACCTACTGTATGCCAAGGACTCTACCTATGTTGGCTTGTTATACCTTTATGATGTCCCTGGGTGGTGACATCCCTGGTCACATTCTAAAGAACAGGGGAAACTGAGGGTGGGATAGGGAGGAGCCCAGCTGAGGTCACAGCACAAAGACCTATCTGCAGCTTGTTATGGATCATACTGTGTCCCCCAAAAATGTGTATCAACTTGGCAAGGCCATGATTGCTCATACTGTGTGACTGTCCACCATTCTGTCATCTGATGTGATTTTCCTATGGGTCGTAAATCCTGCCTCCATGATGTTAACGAGGCAGGATTAGAGACTATTACGTTAATGAGGCAGGACTCAATCTACAAGGTCAGCTTATGCCTTAAATCAATCTCTTTTGAGATATAAAAGAGAGAAGTGAGCAGAGAGACAGGGGGACTTCCTACCACCAAGAAAGTAGAGCCAGGAGAATAGCGCATCCTTTGGACCTGGGGTCCCTGCGCTGAGAAGCTCCTAGACCAGGGGAAGATTGATGACAAGGACCTTCCCACATAGCCAACAGACAAAGAAAGCCTTCCGCTAGAGCTAGCACCTGGAATTCGGACATCTAGCCTCCTAGACTATGAGAGAATAAATATCTCCTTGTTAAAGCCATCCACTTGCGGTATTTTCTTTATAGCAGCACTAGGTGACTAAGACACAGCTCCACAAGTGACTAGGAACTCAGTACGCCTAGGACATCACTGCCTGAAGCTTTCCCTGTTTACTCTCCTCTGACTCCCGTAAAGTGGGTGATGCTCTAATTCCCACACTGTGTAGGAGGAAACTGAGGCACAGAGAGGTGGCCAGAGGTCAGAAAGCTCGTCCCTCAAGGCAGTCTTCCCAGATGCTCCAAGCAGGTCCATGGGCCTGAGGCTCTAGGGACACCTCGATGCTCACCTGCCTGGGCTCCCCTGAGGAGGGGCTGGCTCATCTCGGGGAGCCCTTGCCTGCACAGGGGAAGGTACGGACCTGATTCAAATGATGGGGGCGGGGGTTGGTGAACAATGCCATCTGCCTTAGACACAGCTGACTCTGGGGTTCTTTAGCATCTCTGAATTTTTGAGGTTTGGGCGGGGGCTCTGGAATCTTCCTAGGCTCCCCACCCCCACCCACTGTGGAGACAGAGTTGCTGGGGGCTGCCAGCACCTGCCTCCCTGACTCTACCCCCACCCTCACTGCTGTCGCCTAGAACACACAGCCATTAGCAGCCACCCTGCGCAGTAATTGTCCAGATTGCTGTAATCCACGCAGACGGCACGCCAGGGCTCACCACATTATCACAAATGTCACTGAGCAGGTCTCAGCACACATGGTCCCCGGCATGCCCCCTGCACCAGAACCACGGGGGCATCTCTTGCCATCTCTGGAGCTGTCCCTCGGGGCAGGTACGCAGAGGTAGCAGGGCCCAGGATGAGCTCACTGCTGCCGGAGGACCCAACCTTGAGCCGTGGAGAGCACTCCATCTCAGCTGGTGAGTCATCCCCGCTCCCGCCCTCCCCACCTCCAGGCTGTCCTTCCAGAGGGAGCGGGCCACCACCAACTCCTGGTGCCCGGGCAACAGGGAGGGTGCCAGGGACGGGCCGTGGCAATGACAGAAGACCCCCCCAAGAAGGGAGACAGAGAATGTGGGGCTCGGGCTGCTGACTCTGAGACATCTGTATGAGCCACCTCTCCCCGCCCCCAGGCACTGTCACTGCCAACAGGCCCCCCTACTCCGGGGTCCGGCACGCGGTTAACGAAGACGCATGCAATTCTACACAAACGCTCACGGCGGTACTGCTCACAACAACCGAAAGGTGGCAACAAGCCGGCAGATGAGCGATAAACAGAGTGTGGCCCGTGCGTACAACAGAGTACTATGCAGCCACAAAGAGAGACGGAGCTTTGAGACGTGCTACGACACGGACGAACCTTCAGAAGAGTATGCCGCGTGAAAACTGCCAGACGCAAAACGACCGATATTCTAGGATCCTGTTTACGAGAAACGTGCACAACAGGGAAGCAGAAAGCAGACGAGGGAATGCCAGGGGCTGGGGAGGGAAAGAGGGAGTGGCTGCTAATGGGTGCAGGGTCTCCTTTTGGGGTGATGAGAATGTTCTGGAAATAGATAGTCGTGATGGTTGCAGGACAGTGAATATACTTAAATGCCACCAAGCTATGCACTTTAGAATAACTGAAATGGTGAATTTGATGTTATATACGTTTTACTACAATAAAACGGGGGAGGGGACCTCGTGCATTTCATTAAAGTCTCTTTTATTCCCCACAGCAAAATCCACACTAGGAAGTGGACATGGAGGACAGGGATAGCCACCGGATGGCCCCTTGAGGGGGCTGACCACTGCCCTGTGCCCTGCCAGCTGGAGGCAGCACCTACAGGCTCCCCATTATCACCCCTGATCCCACAGACACTTCTGGTGCCACCTCACCCTGCAAAGGAAGCTGGAGGCTTCTCTCTTTTCTGGTGATGCTGCGGCTCGTGGGCCTCCCCCAGGCCTACTTCAGCCTCAGGGCTGGCTGGGCAGAGGGGCAGAAAGCTGGGCCAAGACCCTAGAGGGGAAGGGGCAGGGGTCCCAGGAAGCCGAGGGAGGGCTGTGGAAGGTCTCCTCAGGTCTGGGGGCCACTGCTGGGTCTGTTTCTGGAATCCCACACTTGGGCCCTCTGCCCACACCCAGGCTGGAGGTGGGGACGGGGCCCAGACTGCCCTGTGGTCCCAGGCCACAGGGCTGTTCTCAGACCCCTGCCCTGTGTCTACAAAGGCCATTTGTTCCCTTCAAGTCACCCCCTGGGGCTCTGGGCACAAATGAGCCCACGTGTCAGAAGGCAGCCTGGCTTCCTAGCTGTGGCCTGGAAGCCCCTCTGTGCACCAGCTCCCACCCCGGGCAAACTCTGCCTCTGCACCTGGTCCTCGCTGAGGAGGTGGACAGGACCGGAAGCTGCTTCTCAGAATCAGATGAAGGTAAACCAGGGTGAGTACAGATAATCCGAGGTGGCCGCCAGCCCAGCGCCAGCATCCCTGTCACCAGAGCTCTCATCTGACACCCCTGCACCAGCAGAGGGGAGGGCTGGGCACCTCCCAGAGACGGAGGGGACTGCGGTCAGGCCCCGTCCTGGGACCGGTGGCCGGCCAGTGATCGTCACTGCCCATAGCACACCTCCCTACCTTATAGATGGAGAAGCGGAGGCCTGGAACATCGCCAAGCTAGGCTGGCAAGGACCCCGTCGTCTGGCTTCAGTGACCACACGCGTGGCTCTCCAGGGTCCCCCTCCTGCGGCCCCCGCGTGGAAGCCACAGGCGCGGCCTGAGAGGACAGCCGTAAGGTCGGCACCAGGGGCACGGCACCACCCAGCCCAGCCTTGCCTACCCGGCAGACAGGGCAGCCGAGAGCGGGTCCATCTGGGGAGGTGCTGACACCCCCACTCTGCACCTCACAAGGTCATCCGCGAGCGGGCCTGCAGTACAGGGCTTCTGCTCCCAAACTCGCACCCACCAGCTGTGCCTGTCAGCTCAGGACCCTGACTCAGCAACTCCATGGTGCCCCGAAGGCCCAACGCCCCCAGGCCACCGCAGACCCTGCAGCCCACATCCACACGGATTCTTGATGTCCCGGGTCAGAACACTCCAGCCCCAGATGGAGGGGCCTCCAGGGTTGCGCCCTGTGAGGACCAGAGGCCCCGGCAGGTCTCGCTGACCCTGTGACCCCAACCACGGTGGCCGCAACAAGGTCTGTGCTGTCCGCGAGGGGCCAGCCCCCCTCCTGCTGCTCTGTCTCTGGAGCCGCGCCACGCTGGCCTCAGAAGTGACCGTGAACGCCGCTCCACCAACCACGTGCACAGCCTGAGCTGCAGCCCGAGGTCACCTGGGGACACGCTCCGGAGCCTGACTCGGCAGCCAGCACCGTTCCATTTTACAGAGGGGAAGACGGAGGCTGTGTGTGGGGTGAGCACGCCACGCCTGGCTCAGCATCTCTGCGCCCCCGGGCCTCTGGAGCCCGCAGTGTAACAGCAGAGCCCTCACCTTTCTTGGCTGTCTCCATTTCCTCCTCGGTCCAGCGGGAACTCTCATTCATCTCCATGGAGGCTGCAAGGAAGACACAGGTGGGTTGGTGGCAGCCCTTCCCCCACATTTCTCTCCCTGAGCCAGGAAGGGGGTAGACAAGGCCTCACTCAGGTGAGGGGCTTGGAGCCTCATGGGGTGGCCGTGTTCCCCGATGCCCCTTCTTGAGCCCTTATGCCACGCTGGGTGCTGGCTGAACACTGGCGGGGGGGATCTGCAGTCACCCCATTCTACAGATGGAGAAGCTGAGGCTCCCAACGGCCAAGGGTCTTGACGGGGGACCATCCTGTGCACTGGGAGGTGCTATCTCTGGTATCCACCCACAAGAGGCCAGCAGCACCCTTCCCAGCTGTGACAACCAAAATGTCCTCAGGCCACTCCAATGTCCCGGGGCAGGGGGTCTGGGGGGCTGCAGAATCACACAGGTTGAGACCACTGCTCTGGAGGGTAGTTATTATGCTCCCCACCAACGCCTCCAACATGAGGATGGGGTCCTCGTGGCTTAGGCCGTGCCAGGCTGGAGGCGGGGGGCTGCAGCACTGTGCCGGGGACTCTCCCAAGAACCCCTAGACGTGAGCCCCGGGTCAGAGGCGGGGGGCTGCAGCACTGTGCTGGGGCCTCTCCCCAGACCCCCTAGACGTGAGCCCCGGGTCGGAGGCGGGGGGCTGCAGCACTGTGCTGGGGCCTCTCCCCAGACCCCCTAGACGTGAGCCCCGGGTCGGAGGCGGGGGGCTGCAGCACTGTGCTGGGGCCTCTCCCCAGACCCCCTAGACGTGAGCCCCGGGCTGGAGGCGGGGGGCTGCAGTACTGTGCTGGGGCCTCTCCTGAGACCCCCTAGACGCAAGCCCTGGTCCTGCCCTTCTGGGTCTTCAGAATGCATGAGGGAGGTGGGGACCACAGGCATGTGCTTCCTGGAACAGCACGAGGCACAGAGTGTGCATTCCACAGAGCGGTGGGAGTGGTGGCCTGTGCGGAAGGTTCTGGCAGGAGGGGAGGTGGCCCAGGAGCTCCCACTAGGAGAAGGGAGATGGTCCTGCCCTCAATGGGAGCTGGCAGCACCCCGACAGGTGGGGGCCCCCAGCTGCCCCCACTCCCTGCTGCCAAGGCTTCACCTGTTCCACATGTCCTGACTGTCCCTCTCCTCTCCTAGCTGTGGGGAGGGGGCTGCTGGAACTGCCCATTAGAGGGCCTGGGAGTTGTGTTTCCCAGCCAGCAGCCCAGCTCCCACATCAGCTGGAATGGTGGAGGGGAATGTCCGCGGAGACCAGGCCCACCAGCGTGCGTCTGAAAGAGCTCTCCATCTGGGCCTCCAGGCGGGCCAGCACCAAGCGGCAACCACAAAACCTACAGGAGAGGCCAGCTTCAAATCCTGACTAACTCTGGGACTTCAGGGAGGCTACGTCCCTTCCCTAAGCCTCGAGTGGCCCATCTATGAAACGGGTGGGAACCGCCTCTCATCAGAGGAGGGGACAGACCCCTGAGGGGTACAGCGGAATGAAACAGCACCTATGTCAAACCCTGCCCTGGGAAGAAACCCTGGCACTGGAGCCTCCACAGAGCACTCAGGGGCCAAGGCAGAAGGACTGGACCAAACAACCAGACAAGTACAGATGACAGATGCATGTCGGCTGCCCTCCGGTGGCAGAACCGGAGAACTGCTACTCAATCTCCCACACTTCCCCTACTCTGAGGTGGGGGAGTCCCTGGGTGGTGCAAACTGTTAAATTACTCAGTGGATGCTAACCGAAAGACTGGAGGTTTGAGTCCACCCAGAGGTGCCTAGGAAGAAAGATCTGGTGACCTACTTCTGAAAACCCATCCACTGAAAACCCTGTGGAGCACAGTTTTACTCTGACACACGTGGGGTCACTTGACTCAGAGGTGACCCGATGTCAACTAACTTTTTTAGGGTAGGGGAGTGAGCGAGGCTCAGAGCACCTGGAGATGAACACCCCACTGGGCAGAAGGAGAAACTGAGGCTCAGAGAAGTAAAGGTATGACCCAGACACCTAGAGGGCCAGGGGCAGGGTGGGGACAGTTAAAGCCACACCCCTCCTATAAAGGGTTGTTGCTCAGCACCCGACCATAGCTGTCCCATGGACATACTGGCCAAGTGTGGCAAGATCTTCTGATTTCAAAACAAAAACTAAAATAAAGCGAGTGATCTGGTTTTTATGGCCAACCTCTCAGCTCTGAAGTAACAGTAGCTCCCAGTCACAGGGCTCTTCCCACAACCGGGCATGTTCTAGGCCTTTCCACACAGAGATGCATGCGAACGCTCTCTGGCCGAGGTCAGTAGCTAAAGCTGGGATTTAACCCCAGGATCTAACTCCAGAATCCACGTGATTAAGCACTAGACTACCCAGCCTCTTGCTGTTGGCTATGAATTCAAATTTCACGAAACTTACGTGTGGGCAAAACAAAACAGGTGCGCTGGCTGGACTGGACCAGATTGCTGGCATTACCCTATGTGGGATACCAGGCACAGGGCAGGGTGTAGCCAAGGACTGGACCCAGGTGTCCTGACCACCAGGCCACGGCGCGGAAGTGCCTCTCTGTGCAAGGCCCCGGCAGATGCACACTGAGAGTCCGATGGGCGAGCAGAAGCTCCTCCCCCAAATATTAAAGTTCCCTGGGGGCAGCACGCGCTGCATTTGCTTTCCCTGCAGCTCCTGTCAGCGTGCTCAGTCAGCACTGCTGGGGTGGGGGACTGGGGGGGCCTGCTTCCCAGAGACGCCCCGCCCATGTGCAGAGGACTGGGTAGGACCCCAGCGCGACTTCCAATCAGGCCTGAGGTGTCGCCCTGCAGTGTCACCTGTCTGCTCCCAGAAGTGGTCATAGGTGGGGGCAGAGTTGCTTGGGACCCAGGCCGTGCCCTCCCAGGTTGGGGGGAGGGTATCTGAGAAGGTAGGGATATCCCTCAAGGGCCTCAAAGCGCAGGGCTAGCTCTGGGCAGTGGAGAGACCTTCAGTGGGGATTCTGGATAAGTCTGCAGGTGAAGAGAAGGGGGTTGTGGGCAGTGGACAGTGACAGCCCAGGGGCCCCAGCCCTACTGAAGCCCACCAAGCCAAAGACTCAGGTCCCGTCACTCTCAAGGGCCTTGTTTTTCTGCATTTTCATCCACCCTCTCTCCTCCACCCGCTCGTCTGTCCATCCATATCCATCCATCCATATCCATTCATCCAGCAAATTGTACTGCGTGGGCACTTCTCTGTGCCTGGCACCATTCTGGGCATGGGGGCCTGCAGCAGTTAGCACCTGGACCCACCCTGCTCCCCGTGAAGCCAGTGCCCCGAAGTCACTGTGACTGGCCCAGGCCTCCTCCCTTCTCCAGAGAGGACCTGTGGCCCCAACCACCTGGTCGTGGTGCCCTCTCCACTCAGCACACCCTGCCCACAGACCACCCTCACCTGGCTCTCAGCCCCAAGATCCCCTGGAGAGAGCATAGGCCGGAAGCCATCACACGCTACGGACAAGGGTACAGACAAGGCTCCGTGGGGCAAAGCAGTCACACGGAGCGAAAGGTGGGGGACTGTTACTGGAACTCTCCATCACTTGTGTGGGGCAGGAACTTCACCCCCACTTGGAGATGTGGCCAGTGGGGGTCCAGGAGGTCGAGGGACAGGCCTGAAGTCCCGGCGTGGGGTCAGGACCCACACCGAGGCCCCCCGGCCCCTGACTCACCCAGCTCAGCGCTCTGCTGAGGGGTGACGGCCTCCTCACTGTTGGCCTCGTTGGCCATCGAGCGCGTGATGCGGCCTTTGCGTCTCCCCTGGCTGTTGGCGGTTTTGCGGCCTTTGGAGGCCACCGCCTCCTTCTCATCATTGTCCTCACCGGAGGTGTCGTCTGTCTTCTCCCTGAGGGACATAGAGAGAGACAGGATGGGTCCCTGAGCCAGGACACCAAGTGTAGGTGGAAACAATTTCTTTCAGCTCAGCTGCCAGCTAGTTTTTAAGGCTCAGACACTAGGACAGAGGGGGAAAGCTGGGGCAAAGGCTGGCTGGTAGAGATCTGCAAGCTGCCTTACTCATCAGGCTCGTAGGTACCTGTAAGTCCCATTTCACGCACCAAAATGACATGCGAGCTGGTAACTGTCGACTACGTGATTTGCCAAGAAAGGGTACGTGGGCAGGTGGCTACTGGGAAGCTATGTTATTCACCAATTAGCGGTACTGAAAACGTTTCTGTGAGGCTACTTTATTCACCCAGTGGAGTTTGGGCTGGTAGCTACCTGCGAGGCCATTTTCTACACCAAGCAGAGAGCTGTAATCTATACCTACCGCAAGACCCTGATTAACTGAGGGGTGCAGGCTGGTGGCGATTTCCAAGGCTACTTTACTCCTCATAAAGGAGGTACACCCAGAGGGGCTTGACAAATGGTGAAACCTTTGCTTTCAGGATTACCAAGGGCCACTGGGCCTGAGGAGTACGCGAGGGGGACTCTCCCGCTGGGTCTAGGCAGCCGAGTCAAGGTGTGGGGGTCCACGTGGCCTCAATACCCAGGCCTGGGGCTTTTGCAGAACCTGGCCTGGGAGAGTTGACTGCAGGGTCACTGGAATTTATCACCCTGCCTTCCCATTCATCTTCCTGGAAGGGCCGCGCTGGCTCATGAGGAGACAGGGTGACAGACCAGATGTTCTGAAGTCATGCTACAGGTACTTGGTGCTCAGGCGTGCCCCCACCTCGGCAATGAGCCTCCAGCTGGCCAGCTCCCCCGCTGCCCAAGGCAGGGGGAGCTGTCAGCCCCGGGCAAGGCTGTGCCATGATCTGCAAGAACTCACACTGACAGCGATAGTTCTGAAGGTGAGGGCGGGCCTGTCTGCGTGCTGTGCTCCTTTGACGTCCCCTCCCCAGCATCTCGGGAGCCTCAGCCGGGGGGGCGGGGTGGGCTCGGAGGCAGAGTGCTCCAAAGTCACTGCCAGGATTTATTAGCTCAGGAGGAGCACTCAGATGAGCTATCAGTCTCCGGAGTCTCCAGAGGGATGAGAAAGAGAGGGGAAAGCAGGAGGGGAGGGCAGGTAGCGGGCTTCCAGAGGGGGGCTGCAGGGATGGAGGAGACAGGAGAGGCCTCCCTTCCCGGCAGGTGACCCTGTGTGGTGGCGGGCTGGCCTTACTTGACGAGCTCTTCCTTGTCGTTGTCCACGTCGGGCTTGTCCTCCTCCTTCTCAGCCTCCTTCTCCTTCTCCTTCTCCTCCTTCTCCTCCTGGCTGCTCCGGGGCATCTGCTGCTGCTGCTGCTGCTGCTGCTGTTGCTGTTGCTGTTGCTGCTGCTGCTGTTGCTGCTGCTGCCAGGCCCAGGGGAGAGTGGGAGAGAGGGAAGAACCGTGAGGCAGGGGCAGCCGTGCACCTGGGCTGAGCAGGAGCAGGGAGAAGCCGGGGGCTAAGGGCACCGTGGGGAGCGGGGGCTCGGGCCCAGGGCCCAGCTGGCACGAGCTGGGGAGGGGCAACAGCCTAGGGACTACAGCCCCTGGGGTCTGGGGAGGCCACCGTCAGGGAATGAGGCATGGAGAAGGCCTGTGTCCAACCCCACTCTCCTATACAGCTCAGTGAGGGGCTCAGAGATGAGAGATCCCTTATGGTGTGCCGAGAATGATCTCCTGCCTGGATCCTCGGTGGGGTGGAAGCAAATAACGCCAGGCCCCTGGGGTCACGGGCAGAGGGAGGTGCCCTCCCAGTCCCATGCAGGAGAGAGGGGAGCGGGGGCCCCCTATAAAGCTGAGGCCACCTCTCTGAGCCTCAGTCTCCAAATCCATAAAATGGGGAGGTGAGGGGAGAACCCCTACTTCCGAGAGCTGCTGGCAGGTGCTTGTTGCTAGGCTGACAAGTGGCCCCCAAAGGAAGCAGAACAAGCCCATCTCACAGGGGGTCAGGAACACTCACAGCACCGCCGGCCACCTCACCCAGACCGCTCTCCTCGGTTTCCTCCCTGAGTCCCAGAGCCTGGTGTGGCACACACTGGGCCCATGAGCCTCCCTCCCTCCCTTCCTCCCCAGCACCTGCCCTCACCCCAGACAGGACAGGCAGGACTAGTGGCCAGAGCCCTCAGACCGCCTCCTGACTTTCTTTCTGTTCCACCTGGTGTCTCTAAGGCACATGCTTGGCTTCTTCACCACCCCAAGGTCCTCCTGCAGGCAGCTGCCAAACCAGGCCATCTTCCCATCCCAAATAAAATAAACCCACCAGAGGCCTTTCAGTGTGGACCAGGCACACGGTCTTACCAATTTCCAAACCAAGGAGAAAGAATCCAAGCAGTCGAGACAAGGCGGGTTGGGGGAACGTCTCCTTTCTCCCCATCTTTCCTTCACATCCACAGCACGTGCCACCCAACACCCCCCCTCCACCAGGGCTCTGGTTTATCATGAGGACAAAGTAGGGTTCCCCAGGCCAGCCTTGGCACTCTATGGAAGCTGGACGCAGGGCAGGGGTCGGTGTGCAGGCATAGGTAACCATGGGCTCTCTGAGGCTGCACTGTGTCCACCTAGAACCTCCAGGCTCAGACTTGCTTCTCTTCCCCAAGACACCTCTTTGTTCCATAACGGTGGGGGGTGAAAGGCAGAGTGACTGAGCTGCACGAGCCTCCCCCCTCCATGGCTGCCATGAGCCTCCCCCTCCATGGCTGCCATCCCATGTCCCAGCCCCAGCCCCAGCCCCAGCCCCAGCCTGGTCTTCCCTCCTGGCCACAAGCCTGCCAACTTAAAAGCCTCAGGTTTAACCCCCCGGGAGCTGGGACCGCTTTAACTGTATCAGCCAAGGACTCCTCTAGGCATGCTGCTGTTGGCTGCCGTGGAGTCGATTCCGACTCATGGCCACCCACGTGTTACAGGGTAGAACTGCGCCACAGGGTTTTCTTCACTGTAAATCTCTGGAAGCAGGTCACCAGGCCTTTCTTCCATGGAGCTGCTGGGTGTGTTGAAACTACCAAGCTTTAGGTTGGCAGCTAAGAGCAAACAGTCTGAGCCATGCAGGGCCGGCAGCAACAACTAACATCAAAGGGCTTCGTGCTGGGTGCTGTTCTTCGTACTTCATTCGAGGAAGAACTAATGCCTTTGAATTGCGGTGCTGGCAAAGAATACTGACTATGCCACGGACTGCCAGAAGGACAAACAACCTGTCCCGGCAGGACAGCCAGAATGCTCCTGAGGACATGTTGTCAGGAGGGACCAGTCCCTGGAAAAGGACATGATGCTTGGCAGAGGGTCTGCGAAAAAGAGGAAGACCCTCAATGACACGGAATGACACAGTGGCTGCAACAATGGGCTCAAACACAATGATAGTGAGGATGGCGCAGGACCGGGCAGGGTTTCCTTCTTTTGTACATAGGGTCACTACGAGTCGGAACCAACGTGACGGCACCTAACTAACCCATCCCCCATCGTCTTTCCATTTTGCAGAAAAGGAAACTGAGGCACAGGAGGGTAAGTGAAACAACAAACAGTAGTGCCAGCATTCAAAACTGAAGCCCGAGTTCTGCGTCGGCCCCAGTTACGCCGGGTCCTCGCTGCCATCTCCACCCACCCACTGCCCTCACCCAGCCTGGCCTCACCACCCCACCAGGCCCTGCCCCCATCACCAAGCCCTCGGGCACCCAGCCCCCATCAGCACTGGAACCTGGTCATTATTTCTGCCACTTCCCAATAAGGTGTGCAATCTGGACGCCAGGCCTGCCTCCTTCCTGACATATTAGCAGACCCGGGACAGAGGCGATTCCCACCTCTGACCCTCCCTGAGTTGGGATGTGGCACCCCCAGTGCCCACCTCCCACAATCCCCGAGCTGGGGTGTGGCACCCCCAGAGCCTGCCTCCCACCCTCCCCAAGTTGGGGTTTGGCACCCCCAGTGCCCACCTCCCACCCTCCCTGAGTTGGGGTGTGGCACCCCCAGTGCCCATCTCCCGCCCTCCCTGAGTTGGAGTGTGGCACCTCCAGTGCCCCACAACCACGCTCCTATGTGATGACGCATCCCAGTATCCCAGCATCCCCAGCAAGGGCCCTAAACTGGAGGCGGAGCAAAGGGAGAAACACCAGGTCAGCCCTGGGCTCCTGGTCTTTTCCAGCAGGAGATGTACCTTCAGCCCCCATGGGGACCATCTGCGTCACACAGGAGCCCAGGGTTGGTGCGAGATGCGGGGTCCAGGTTCAGGGGTCAAAGCCAGTTTTCGGCTGCTTGGTGTCCTTGGCCAGCAGTCCCCTCCCCTACCTGTGGCCCCTGCCCCTATACCTATACTCCAGCCCATCTGTCCCTCCTGGAGACAACAGAGCATGCTCCCTTGGTGCGTGAGGGGTGCCTCTTTACACGACACGCAGACAGAGATGTGCTGGGCCAGCTCATTCCAGCTCAGATTTTCAGGAATTCTGCAGGCCGGCTGTTAAACAGTCATTTCCAAAAACTGAAACACATCGCTTTACAGTTAAACAAGTTACGATAAAGACAAAAGTAACAAATACTCAAAACTCCTCACTTCCTAATTATGTGGAGGTTATCTAAGCTCTTGATGTTACTCAGGCCAACTCCACCTGCAGGACGGAAACACTGCCTGAGAGTGTGCTGAGCAAGTCTCTTCCCAATTCTGCGGTCGGCAGCATCACATGGGCAGCCTGGAGCTGGGCTCCAGGGAATGCTGTACCACGAGAACCGGCATGGGCTACACATCTGGGCTCCCCACTACCCTGGGAAGCTGGTCGTTAAACGCTGTGTCAACGGAACTTGAAGAGCGTGTAACACACGCACGTGGATGCGTGTGCTGCCCGTACAGGAGCAAGAGTGTGGCTGTGACGTTAAACGCTCCATAATAAATTGTGAACCACATCCCGTCCCTCTCCTTGGACAACCTCAGCGGCCCCCACACCAGGCCAGGATGACACCAGGCTGGGATGACCTGGCCCTGCCCACTGCTCGCACCTCCCCAAGGGCCGCTCTCCCCTGGCTCACTACTTGCCTCCTGGAGCCTGCCGCCCGGGCCCCTGCCACAGGGCCTTTGCACTCGGCCAAGTCTCTGCCTGGTCGGCTCCTTCTCATCACTCAGGTCTGAGCCAAAATGATACCTCCACCAAGCAGCTCTCCGTCATGTCAGCCACCTCCTGACTGGGGCTTATTTTATCACCCTGAACACCACCGCCCGTCTGTCAGTCTGTCATACTGTGGTAGCTCACGTGATGCTGTGACACTGGAAGCTATGCTCCCGGGATTGCAAATACCAGCAGGGTCACCCATGGTGGACAGGTTTCCGCAGAGCTTCCAGACTAAGATGGACTAGAAAGAAAGGCCTGGCAATCAACTTCCTTAAATCAGCCGAGATCACAAGAGAACGCTGTCCGACTTGCTTGCTCTGGACCCATCATTGGGGGATCACTCTCTGGAGGTGGTTGCCGTGTCTGATGAAGTGGAGGGCCAGCGGGGGTAATGACCTTGGGAATGACGCACGACTGGACCACGTTTTGTTCTGTTGTACGTGAGGCCACCATGAGCTGGAGCGCACTCAGTGCATGAGCTGGAGTGCGCTCAATGGCAGGCAGCTGCCTGTCTGTCTACCTGTCTAAACCACCTCAGATGATCTCTTTGTCTCTCTCTGTGTCTGTCTGACACCACCTCAACAACCATGCCAATTCACTGGAGCACATCTGTCTCCCCCATGGGCGTGTCACTCCGGGAAGCTCATGTGTCTCCAGCTCTGCTGAATCATCTACAATGATGACACGTGAAGACACTGATGCAGCCCCTTCCACTCCCCCACTGGAGCAGGCCCACGTTAGCACCGCTCTTTGGGGAACTCCTCTGACTCTTGGCAGCCCAGCTGGACACACTCCCAGTGAAGCCCGCCCCGCCTCTCAGCCCTGGCCTGTCCCTGTGATGTGGTCAGCCTAGGAGCTGGGGGGGCCAGGTCTCCCTGACCCCACATTCTGGCCTGCAGGAAGGCCACGGTCGGCTTCTCCCCAAATGGCAGCCCAGCATGCTCCGTCCCTCAGCATGGTCTCTCTTGTCTCCTGGTGGCCCAACCACCCAAGCCAAGATACTGTCCCCATAAGTGACATCCACGGCCATGTCTGCCAGACTGGGGGGGCCTAGAGGTGTCCCCGTTGAGTACAGAGCTAGGCAGGATCAGAGACTTACGCTCACCATGGCCCCACATCTGGACATGATCCCGTGCATGCGAGCCTGCACCCCGCAGGGCAGAAAACAGCACCTTCTACAGGCCTGGGCCACCCAGGGGGCAGATAACCCTGGCCCGACCAGGCACGCTGGGACAAGGCCAGCTCGCTCGCACCTGGTGCTGGGAAGGTGCTCTGCAGCCTGGAGGCCATGTAGCCATGTCTAGCCAGCCGGACGTCCCCATCAGCTTCACCGGGTGAGCTGTCAAGTAATGTCACCGACGGGGCGGAGGGGTGACACATATCTGTCTGCGCTGGGGGGTGGTGCTGGTGGTAAATGTGTGCCCTGCGGGGGGGGGGG